TGGATGGGGGGGGTCAGGGCTTATTCTGTTGTGTTAAACCCAGCTTTCTACTAAGGTTTTATGGTTCAAGGGGAAGCCAGAAAATAAATTAACTCAGCAACCAGTTTGAATGTGCTGCATGAATGCAGTCACAATGTTGGACTTGGACTGGTTCAAGTCTCCATTTGAGCATGGAAGTCCCTGGGTGACTGTAGTCTAGTCACCCAGGGACTTTAAGATGTGTGGACTTCAATTCCCAGAATTCTGGGAGCTGAAATCCAAACCCTTTAAAGTTGCTGAGGTTGAGAAACATTGGTCTAATCTCCCTCTCTCTCTCTCTCTGAACCAGTCTACATACAAGGTTGTTGTGGACACATACAGGGGAGAGCTTCCAAAGTAAAGGTGGGTTACAAATCAATTGCAAGCATCAAGTAAAGTATTATCATTGGCACAGGCACTATGAAAGAAACCTACATCATAGCACCACAGCTTGTATTCCTCTTATACTTTTTAAAATACAAGCTTTGATTTGTGTTCTGATACCATGAAACCAATCCTTTGGACTTCCTGAAAGAGATGTTTTTCCATAAGGAAGTGGTCAAGGCAGATCTTTTACTGTTTTTGATCAGTCATTTTTTCAGAAAAGACCCTACTGCAAAATCCCATTTTCAATATCTGAGAAGCTCATAAGAGAAGTGGTAATGGGGAAGATGCTACAGACTCAGACTGTTTGCAGAGTGAAATGCTGGGCCCCAGCACCATGCATCTGGCTAAACTACTAATAGGTAACCACTGAAACTTATCTGGGCTGGCTACAGGCAGTCCCTGGGTTAAGAACATCTGACTTACGGACAACTCATACTTACGAACAGGCTGCCTGTTACTAAAAATGGTGGACGGAGTTCTCCTTCCTCAAGCTGATGAACCACTGAAGTTGCGCAATGTTTTCATGAACCACTGAAGCTGCACGTTTTAATTATGCAGCTTGTTTCCAGCGGTTTCCAGCGGTCCATGAAAGCATCATGCAGATTCAGCGGTTCATTGGCTCAAGGAAGGGGAATGCCGTCCACCATTTTTAGTAACAGGCAGTCCGTTCGTAAGTATGAGTTCTGACTTACATACAAATTCAAGTTAAAGACAAGCTTAGGAATGGAACTCGTTCTTAACCCGGGGACTGCCTGTATTTCAATTACACTGGTACTCATGACTGCCTTTGGCATCAAATTCTGTTTCCAAATTCTCCTCAGGAACAGCTCCATGTGTGTAGCAATCCTCATCAGTGAAGACAAAGGAATTTAATAGACTCTTCCTCATCAAAACTTATGTCATAAAAGCTTTTCTAGTCTTTGGGGTTTCACCTGACTCTCTTTTGTTACGGCTGTTTAAGCTTTTCTTCACAAAACAAAAATCATTAGAGCAACTCTTACCAAGGATTCTTCTCTTCTAAGAGATCAGGCACCACATTTACCAATGCAATGTATAAGAATCCTCCAGAGGTAAAAGGGAGAATCCAAGCGATGGTTTCCCCTGCACAGATAATAAACAGCGCATTAGTAACCAAGTGGTGCCCATATTCTATATTCTATATGAACACATTTAGATCCAAAGGGAAGGGAGGCCAGGCTTCTGAACCATCTGCCACGTGGTCATAGAGCCTTACCTGTCCCTTTTGGTGACTGAGTACAGATGGCAAAGCAAGCTCCCAGAATGCCCCCAAGGGCTGTGGAGAGCTGTAGCTTGGCTGCACTCCAGCGATCAAATCCAGCACGGAGGAGAATGACAAAATCACCCACCTACAGATAGGAAAAACAGAAAATAGTTTGGGAGTAATGTACCCAATCTGAAAACGGCGTGGTGGCTGTGGCATAGTACTTATGGTAGGCTATTCCACGGTGGGCGGGTGACACAGATGTTCTCTTTGCTTAAAACCTGGCTCCTGATGGAAGCTCAGGGGCTAATCAACTGTGGCTCAGTAGTTTTTTTGTTATTTTTATTAAATAAGTAGGAAAGCAACAGAAAGAGAAAAAAAGGGAAAGAATATATACCTATAGCTCAAAACATGTACATAACATAGGAACTCTTAACTCATCTATGCTGTTATTTATCTTTTTTTGCTGCTGTTGCTGCTGCTGTTCCTATTATTATTACTGTGGCATAAGCTTTGCACTAAGGGCAAACATTTAAGTAGAACAGAAAAGAAGGTTTGTCTGCTTTTGGCTTAGGTCAGTATGCAAAGCTCTCTGTGTTACTGATGCCACGTACACGTACACAGGATTTCTGCTCAACACCTGCTCAGCTTCCCAGCACACATACTCCAGACCCACTCACCTCATGGGGTATTTCATGTAGAAGAATTGCCAGAGTTGTAAGAAGTCCAACCTAAAGTCAAGGAGAGAAACTAGCTAAGAGGAATCTCTATAGCTCAATAGAGCAGCAATAGTAGCAATACATGGTCCTTCCTGAGACTTCAGTAAGTAAAGAAACAGCTATTTTATCTCAGACAGTGATCTATATAGCTTTAGCTTTTAAAATACCTATAGGAAACATCCAAATGGAATTTTGAGGCTTTGGTGTAAGTGTTATGGAAAAAAACTGAAATTGTTTCCTAAATATTATACAGACCTTCTGCTAGAGCATGGCTAGGCAATCTGTGGCCCACAGGCCACATTACAATAAAATCAATAAAAAATAAAGATAAAAGATTGCAAGTATGATGAAGTGAGGGATCTCACTCTCCTTTGGCAAAGTCCTGGGTGAAAAGCCAGGTCTTCATGGCTCTTCTAAACAACAGTAGAGTCGGGGCCATCTGGACCTTGGGGGGCCAAAGGACTGATGCTGCTATAGAGAAGGAGCACTTCCAGGGTCCTGAGAGATTACACTGTTTAATTGAGGGAACCCAGAGTGCGCCAACCCTGCAGGATCAAATTGGCCGGGCAGATATTATGGGAGACAGGCAGTCCCTCAAGTGACCAGGCCCTGTGCCATGTAGGGCTTTACAGGTAGCAACCAGCACCTTTAATTGTACCCAGAAGCAAACCAGCAACCAGTGCAGCTCATGAAGCAGAGGTGCTACGTGGGGATACTGAGGCATGCCCATTACTGCTTGCGCTGCCACATTCTGGACCAGTTGAAGCTTGGTGGAAGAGGTGGACCATTTTCGCAAACCTGGAAGAATGGGGGGTCAAGCACACTTTTTGGGGAACATAGTTCATAGTCTGGGAGCCACGCAGGAAAAGATCAGATAGACCAACTTCGCAGAAGGAGATACAGTCAGACTCTCAGGCTCTAGGTTGCTTAGGACTTTAAGAGCAATACCTAGCAAGCAAGTGACAAACAGCGTTGGTCTTTTAAGACAGATATCATATGATTCCTGTATTTTGCAGCCAGAAGCAGTCTAGCTGCCACATTTTGCATTCACTACAGTTCTTGGACACTTTTTAAGAGCAGACAAGTCAGCGCTCTTTGCTGCACCCACTGCCATGGAGTAGCATTACCGATTGGCCTTAAAAAGGTCTTCCACTGCACGTTCAATCCAGTTTGTCCTGAGAGTTCTTGCATTTGAATCCTCCTTCATTGTGCTTCATTGGGAAGAGGGCAGTTCACCTGGGCCATCTCCCCATTTCACAGATCTGCCAAGGCTTTAACTATATTGCCAAAATGAAAGCAAGAAATGTCCGAAGCATATTCAGGAAACCTTCTGGATCTACTAGGTGCTGGACTGGACTATTTTAACCAAGCCTAAACTCTACAGTGGTTTATACCAGCCATTAGTTTAAACTGACCAGACAGTAATCTGTCCATGAGAATGGAGTTAAAACAGCTCCTCCATTTTCAGATCACAGGCACCCATCAAATACCACACCCACAATATGTCCTACACAGGTGGGGCCAGAACAAATTGGGCTAGAGCCGTGGTCATGGTGGACAGGCAATCCCAACCCACTCCTGAGTGTACAACCTCAGTGTGGACACTGAATTCTTTCAAAACAAGAACTGTAGGATAGTCCACTACCAGATATCATCCTGGTTAGCTTAGAAAGAGAGACTATCCTGCAACAGGGTGAACAGTACACCACAGGATCCCTGTGCTGCCTAAGCCATAACCCAAAGGTAGCAGTGATAATTTAAAATTGGCAGACTCTTGGATGGGTATGGAATTCTTAGCACCTTTGTGTTAAGAGTAATGGAAGAAGTCCTATGCTTGAGAATAGAGCACAATTGTCTTTTAACATCATTATCTTGTTGTTAAAGGAGGTCCAGTCTCCTAAAGAAGGGAACTTACCTTTCTGCTAACTAGAAAGCTGGCGGCCACTGCCAAGCCATGTGTGAAATTATCGATTGTATTGGCCAAAAGATTGAGATATCCACTCATCTGCCAAAGACAAAGCGGGAGGAAGAAGAAGAACCAAAAGAAAGGAATTCAGAAGCTTCAGGATTAAAACATAACAAAAGATTAACCAACATAGATGGTCATCTTCACAAACAAAGCAAAAAATATGCATTTTATTCCCAGTTTTAGTTTACATGTAATTTAGCCTTTGTATGAAAGTTGCTTTGCATAATATTGTTTATCACAGATGAACATAGCTTAATGACATTCCCATGTATGTATGTACAGTTGCACGGAAAGGCACCTCTAGTTAAACTGTGTGTTTCAATGAATCCCTATGTTAACAGAGGCTGACACAACCGCTTCATGGTACTAAGCTAAAAACAATATATATTCTACAAATATGAATACATACTTAGTATTTATGAGCTGTTGTTTACAGATTCAAAATTAGACAACAATGAACATGGCAAGTGCAGACACTTGGATAACCTTACAGCTGATTCAGTGCTACTTTTTCTAATTGTAAAGTTGTTAATAAAGCCAAAAAAGGTGATCAATGTGTTCAGCCTGCAAGGAAATGAAATCAATACCACAGATAAACAAATACTTTGATCCTTCTAACCTCTCAAGTTGTGATTGTTGTCATCTCTACTACCGGCAACCACGGGGTTTCTCTAAGCAGCTGTCTGAACATTTGAAAATGAAGATAATTTACTCTTACAAAGCAGGAAAAGGCTATACAAACCTTTAACCAATTCCAGCTAGCAAGTTCAACTGGGAGCAACACTGTAAAGAAATGGATATTCTGAAAAACAGAATCCATGTATCAGTGCAAACAACCTGCTTAAAAGTTCAGCTAACACTGGAGTAGTTGTCAGAGGTTCACAGTACAGCATTGCTTATGCAACAGTGATCTGCATGGAAGGAAAGGAAAGAAGGAAATCCTTGTCCTTTCCTTGTCAGAAGGAAAACTTTCTTTCAACTTTGTCATTAGTCACACAGAAGAAAACCTTCATCCAGAAACATCTGGAACATTTGTACTGATGAAATAAAAAGTGAACTGTTCAACCACAACCACATAAGATACGCTCAGAGAAGCATCTGAAGAAAAGAACTCCTTGCCAACAATTATGCTGTAAGCTTACGTGGCAGAGGATGGCACAGGAAATATTGCCCAGATGGAATGATTCCAACTAAATATCAACGTGTCCTAAAACTAACATCTCACTGTCAGTGAAGAAACTAAAGCTAAAAAGAAGTTGGATATTTCAGATGATCTGAAATATATGTCCAAATCAACCATGAGTTATTTACAGGAAAGAAAGAAAAAGATTTTGGAATGGCCTTCACTGTACCCAGACTTGAATATCATGGAAAATCTGTGGGGAGATTGTGACATATGGGTTTGAGTGGCCTGGCCTGGCTGTTGTTCTGCTGGCATGAGCCAGCCATTGGAGTGAATAAAAGGGGAAAAAGAAGCTCAGTTTTTGTCCTGAAGGGCAGCTGTGCTATCATAACAGCTGATGAGCAGACCAGGGCTGTTGTGGTGAGATGTTGAGACAGCAGTCTCATTGCTCCAGCCTGGCATATAGGTGTTGGGGACTAGAGCCCGGGGGGGGGGGACACCCACGTCCTCAGTTGCCGAGGGACATGCTGCTGGTCTGACTAAAAATTGGAGACAGAGAGAGAGAGAGAAGGAGAGGAGAAAAGGAGAGGAGAGAGAAAGTCTGTGCACGGAGTGAACTGAGTGGCTGGAGAAAAAAGTTGGAGAGAGAAGTTAAATGTGTGGAGCAGTTGTCAATTCCTGATCAGGAA